TGGGACATGGAGGTTCAAATTTTCCAAAACATTGGCAGCAGAGAAAAAATACTTTCACCGTCTAGTACATGTTAGTAAACTGAATTAAATAAAGTATTTGTCGGTAGGGTAGTGGGGGGGGGATATAAGCATAGCAGATAATATGAGCATAATTGTAAAACGTAAGATAGGACTGTACTGGTGGTGCCATCTATGTAACTTATGACGCATTACTAATCGTAAAATAACGTATAAAGTTCGACAAACGACTCTAGTTGAGCAGACCGTTGAATTGTTGGCGGTTGTTTGGATAGCGCGGATAGCCATCACTAATTTACGTTTTTTTTTTTAAGGTATTCATAACACTGTAACTTTATTTCTTTATTATCTACTGAGATTCTTTCGCTACCAGCCTTTAAGTCAACTTAAGTGCTTCTACTCATAGAGGTAAGAAGTTTAAATTATACATTATAAGTGTCTAACCTCAAATTTAGATAACGTCAGTACTTGCGAACCCGAAGTAGTTTATAAGATAGTTCATATACAATAATGTTTTTGTTTTTTAATTGTAGAAAAATACGCATTGCCCGGAAAATGCTGAGATATTGTAAGAAAGGCATAAGGTCATTGTGGACCGTAGATAGAATGAAATCTGCCATAAAACTAGTTTTAGATGAAGGGTATTCAGAAAAAAGAGCAGCTAGGGAGTGTGGAGTTCCTCGTCAAACTGTAAGACGTTATTTACAAAAGGTACGTTCTGGAAATCGGTTTAAATTGAAGGAGAGGCTGGGAAGGAAAAGTGTTTTGACTGCGTAAGCGTTCAAGATGCGAAAAAATACGTTTTTCAATATTGCGAAAAGAATGGCATTGCTAACCCATTCAACCGTGTCAAAAGTCAAGCTGGAAAGGACTGGTTCCAGGACTTTCTGAGGAGAAATCCTGACACCGATCTATCCGGAAACCTGAAGCAACTTCAATGTAGAGAGCTATTGGACTCAATAAAACGAAAGTTACCCTATTTTTCAACAACCTAAAAAAATTATATTTAATGAAAATGGATCCAGAAAACATGTTCAATGTCGATGATTCCGGTTACACAACTGTGCATAAACCTGGAAAAGTCATCGCTAAAAAAGGCAAAAAATATGTAGGTTCACTTACGAGTGCAGAAAAGGGCAAAACGATTACCGTTGTATGCTGTGTTAGTGCAGTTGGGCAATATATTCCGCCTATGTTTGTTTCCCCAAGAGTAAGAATGCGTCCTGATCTCTTAGATAAAGGGCCAGCGGAGGCTATTGGAGTGGCAAACCCTTCTGTGTGGATCAATGAAGAATTGTTTGGTGTTTGGTTTGATCACTTTTTGAAGCTAGTTAGACCAGCTAGTCGTCCTGAACCTGTTTTGATCAATCTTGACGGTCACACATCTCATACTAAAAATCTAACTTTGATTGAAAAAGCAAGAGAAAATAATGTGGTTTTATTATCCCTTCCTTCTCATTGTACTCATCGATTACAGCCGTTGGACGTGGCTGTATTCAAAAGTATAAACACATTTTATGATCAAGCTGTGGCAACATGGTTAGCGCAACATCCTGGCAAAATTGTGACAGAAAAGGAGATACCTGAGCTTTTTATGATTGGATATGGGAAGGGAGGAACAATAAAAAATGCTGTATCTGGGTTTAAGAAATGTGGAATTTTTCCATTTGATCTCGAAGTATTCACAGAAGAATAGTTCGTCGCCTCTAACTTAATTGACCATAATCCTAATCAAAATAGGACAAACATTTCTCAAAGATTAGAAGAAACACTACCTGTGACAGCCTTACCCATAACCGGAGAATATATTAACAATTCCAAGGATTACATCACCAAAACGTCAGAAAGGACACTTGAAAGGACCCCTGAAAGGACACCTGAACAATCCCAAAACTGTGTCGAAGATACAATGTAACCCAAAACTCCTAAATGTCGCATGGATCTTTTGGCTTCCACAAGCAAGGATGATGTGAAGATATCCCCAAGCTTCAGAGATCTAATTCCTACACCTGTTAGACAGATAGCAAGTACTTCGCGAAAAGGTAAAGTAGCTCATTCTATTGTTCTAACAGAGAGACCATAAGAAAATGAACTTTCTGAAAGCGTTAAGAAAAAATCATGTGTGGTACCAAGAAGAAAAGTGCTTTCTTCTAAAAAAATGGAAAGCGAGCAAAAAATGAGGATGCCAACTGTATTTTTTGCAATGAATCCTATTTCATAACTGGTGGCTCCTGGATTCAGTGCATAACTTGTAAGAAATGGGCACATATCGATTGTGCTGGTGTAACCAAAAAAAAAAACAAGATTTATATTTGTGACCTATGTGAATGACTTTTATTTTTTCATTTTGCTCATACGTTTTCCTGTTATGATTTGTTTGTACTTATTAAATTAGATTTCGAACTTAAATCATGTGCTCATTTTACCCAACCTCATGCTCATATTACCAGATATGGTGGGTAATATGAGCAACTCGACCACTTTGCAAATTTGTCTATAAAAACTTCTGTCAGACCAGAAAGCAAAGTAATTTTGCACAAATTGATTAANATAGAAGGGATGCAGGCGTCTTGAAATGTAAGGAGTCGAATTTTAAATAAGTAGTACTTCGTCAGTTTTTGACATTTATGAAGTATACGTCAGGACCAGGGCAGGCTGCAGAGAAGAAATCACTTCGTAGATACTGAAGACGTTTTGGGTTTTGTTTGGGACATGGAGGTTCAAATTTTCCAAAACATTGGCAGCAGAGAAAAAGACTTTCACCGTCTAGTACATGTTAAAAGAGTAAACTAAATTACGCATGAAAATAAAGTATTTGTTGGAATTACTTTACTATTAACATTTCATTAGAGCAAGACTAGTTCAATATTACTATTTTCATTCCTTACTATCTTCAGTTAAGTGTTGTATCATTACCTAACAATCAACCTGTATAACATCCGACAAATGATAAATTTGCGAAAAAACAACTTATTTAACGACCTTTAGACGGGCGTGTTTTGTTTAATTTCTTATGATATGGATCACATGGTGAATTGGGCACTATATTAGTTACTGTAATAATCTGACCTACATTTTTGGATAAAGCGATAGAATGAATGTTTTTAATTAAATCTAAATGAATACAGATTAGTTGTTTAAGCACAGATATATACAGGGTGTCCCATTTTAAATGGAACAAAACCGGGACTCGTGATAGATTATTTGTTAGTTCTCGGAACTAATAGGTCAACTCCGTCAACAATAATTATTGAAAAGTTAAGGGCCTTCAAGTAGGTTTAGTGTCGCCATAAAGTCGTTGAGAAACTGGTGCCTCTTGTCACCGGGAGTAATAAATTTGCAAAGCTCGACCAGCGCAGTCCTTCGGAGAAGGCCTCATGAAATTTAGCAATGATTTTGAACAAGTAGACTTGGATCGTCGGGGCCATGTGTTGGCATCTGGTATCGAATAACTGCCATGATGAAGGGAGAAGTCCATATTTCTAATAACGCGCGAAAAACATTCGAAAACACGTAGGAATTCCAAGATATTTAAATAAGTTGTTAGAATGTTGCGAGGAAAATAATAATAGATCAAATAGCTGTTTTTTAGGCGGATTTTCCAAGCTATAAGAATAGATTAAACGAGATTAACTAATTTGTCCCGTGTTGATACACGCAGTCACAAGAGAAGGTGTAGGGTTACTTGTAAGTTCAGTTTAGTCACAAAATTATCCATACAATTGTAAATTCAGTCAATTAGGTATTAACATTGTATAGTTAAGCCATTCCAACCCCCAATATTCAGGGATCCCACCAATAAGATAAGAACTGAAACTTCTGCACCCAAGAAATTGGTGTGTTGAAGCGAGGTGTCGAATTCAGGAAAGATCTCCGAAAAAAAGGGCAGTTTTCCCTTGGATTCCACACTGGCAGTTTTCTTAATTTTAGAGTCTCGGGTTAATTTAATCAATGGATAAAGTCTTTCCAAATTTGGCTATGAATTGATATCTGATCCCGAAAATGGATAGGACAATTTTATGTTATATATGTTATGGGGTCAAAATGACCCTAAAACGTTATTTTATGGTCAAATAAGGTTCTGAATAAGATTTTGCGATTTTGGTTGAAAGATTTATGGTCTGATGACCTAGAGGTCAAACTTGAAGGTTCTGTGAAGGTCAAATCATGATAAAGGAAATCCCTGTTTGCAGCAACATTAAGCTAAGGCAATATCGTCTAGGCAAGGTCACTATGACCAGGTCAGCCGGGTCTAAACCATCTTGCCTAGACTGGCCGAATCATAGAGATCTTGCCTTGTCTGGCTGGGCTATAACGATCTTGCCTCAGCTTGATGGGGCTGCAAACAAGGGTTTTCCTATTTCGTATCTTGATTTGACCTTCACAGAACCTTCAAAGTTTGACCCATCACATAAAAACATATATGAACGTAAAATTTTCTGCTCCATCCATTTTCGGTGTCAGAGATATATCTATCACATCTAAAAATACAAGATCACCTTCAAATAACCTCTACGGTTGATCTTTGGGTCAAGGTCACCATCGAATGTCCTCCTCAGAACCCTACAACCTTTATCTCGAAAGTCATACTCGAAAGTGCTTCTCTATGAAGATATTTGCCTTCGAAGAATTTTTGCGAACTATAATTAAAAGTGAAATCAATATATCCTACCGGGCATTTGTCAATCTATTAGGAATCACCCTAGTAAATTTTGGGCATTTATTAATAGTAAAAAGGGTTCTACAAATATATCCCAGTCTATGCATTACAATGGGCGTCATAATGATATTGATGCATTTGTCCATGGATTACTGAAGCTTTATTAAAGTCAGTTAATAACAAAAATAATCTTTACAAAAATCACAAATTAAACTCAGGAGACAAAAATTTAGAAATAAAACATAAAACTTACAGAAATAAATTAAATCTATTAATAAAAAATGCAAAAATTAACTACTATAGAAAGCTTATAAATACTAATAAAACAACTTCAAAAAAACTCTGGTCATCAATAAAAAATATTTGCAATATAAATAAGGAAAAAGAAATCATTACGAAAATCGAAAATGAAAATGGTATAATATCGGATAGCACTGAAATTGCAAATGCATTTGTCACTCATTATGCCAATGTCGGGAAAAAACTTGCAGCTAAAATAAAAAGAACAAATCCAAGTCAGAAAATTTATAGTAACCCCAATTCAATTTTTTTTTTACTCCTACTGACCCAATTGAAATAAAGGAATTCATTGGCTCACTAAAATCTGGTAAGGCTCCAGGAATCGATGGAATTACGGCGGAGATGCTTAAAAATATTAAAGATGAGATTTCAGCACCCTTAGCTTATTTAATAAATGTTATAATAAATGAGGGGCAATGTCCAAATGCCTTTAAAATAGGAATAATTACTCCACTGTACAAAAGCGGCAAAAAGTGTGATGTAATAAATTATAGACCCATATCTCTAATTTCCAATATTGCAAAGATCTTTGAAAAAGTAATTTTCTTGAAAAATTTTACAGTTTATCTAATATGCAATTTGGATTTAGAAATAATGTTTCAACTGAAAATGCGATTGCAAATCTGGTTGACAGCTTATATCAGTCAATAGATACACGTCAGCCCACTTTATGTATATTCATTGACTTGGAAAATGCTTTCGATTCGGTTAGTCACACACTATTACTTAATAAGCTAAGAAATATTGGAATTAGAGGCACTGCGTTTAACTTGATAGAAAGCTATTTAACCAATCGTAAACAATCCGTTAAAATTGGTGAAGTTATGAGTGATTTAAAAAATGTATACTATGGTGTACCTCAGGGAACGGTACTGGGTTCCATTCTATTTAATATATACGTAAATGATTTATTTAGTTTACCTTCTGATGGTCAGATACTTGCATCTGCAGATGATACAGTTATCATTTATAAAGGAGACACATAGAGAAATTTAAAAAAAAATAATTGAACGTGACTTTAAATTCATTAAACAATGGTTTGATTATAATATTTTAACTATAAACAGGTGCAAAACCAAGTATCTACTATTCAGTTCTTATCGGAACCATTTACCTGACCTTCGGTCACTAAGGATCTCAAAGGACTTAGACGAGGACATTCCTATGTTGATTGAGGAAGCTGATTCTGTTAAATACCTAAGAATAGTAATGGATAAACATTTAAGATGGGTCTTACAAATAAACAACATTGTTAAAAAACTTAGAACATTCATACCTATTTTTAAATACCTTAAACAATTGTTGACAATAAAAGAACTTAATATCCTGTACTATTCCTTGATTCAGTCCCAAGTAACATACGGTATAATGGGCTGGGGTGGAGTAAATAATAATTTCCTACAAAAATTAAACACAATTCAAAAATGGTTTATTAAAATAATATATAATAAAGATTATACCTACCCAACAGAGAATTTGTATAAAGAAACAGGAAAAATGGATATAAGACAACTTTTTTGTGAGAAAATACTTATTTATCTATATAAGAATAAAGATTTTATTGAGTTTAACGATCATATTTACAATACGCGGGCAAAAAACATAACAACATTAAAACAAAGGGTTAATAAAAAGGCAGGTACAAGAAATTTTAAATATATTAGCTTAAAATTATATGATGCTCTCCCTATAGACATTAAAAATATAACATCTTTGTTTCTTTATAAAAAAAAAGT